ACACACACACACACACACACACACACACACACACACACACACACACACACACAGTGCAGGGACAAGTGGGCATAGGCTCCAGAATCACCCCTGGAACTGTTTGTGGAGGGCAAGCCAGCAGGCTCATGCATACAATGGATAGGAGTTGCCGAAGGGCATCTTTGTGTCCTGTAAACTACTTCTAGTATTTTCCAGGGAAAGCTTGGGACCTACTAGAAGAACCAAAGACATGAGCTGAAGCCAATTGAGATTTCATCCTTTGGCTAGTGTTCATGGGGGCAAGAGGTGGCAAGAAGCAGGATGATGGCTGCTGTCACCCAAGAATGAAGAGAATATACACTAACTTTGAACTCACTGCCATAGGAGCGACCACAAACAGCATGGTTTTCTATTCCTGAGAGGAGTTTGGGTTTAAATTAACAATTTACATCTGTCTCTCTTATTATCCATTATATGTCTTCCTCAGTAGTCCAAACTTCAGGTCTGATATTTTTTACTCATGTTTTACTTATGTAAAAACAAATATTTTGAGTGTGTGTATATGTGTGCACACGTGTGAACGAGTGCCTGCCCTCTCATATGTATGTGTGCTTGTGGGTAAGGGTCTGTAGCTTTCATTAAAAATTTAAAGGCATATGTCAAATAGTAAGAAGCCATTTTTTTCAGATATCATCTATAGCCATACAAAATATGTAAATTATAGGAATAAATAATTTAACATAATTACTTGTAATGTTTGATATTTGGGTTAATGTTTTAAATTTTAATCTTTTTCTTTAGTTGTTAAAATTCTGGCCAGTCCTTCTAGTAGCTTCACAAGATGCTCACATGTCCAATAATTTCTATATTATCAACTGTCTAGTGTGATTTCAACATCATGTTATTTAGACTATGCTGCAAAATATCAGTGAGTTTGCTGAAATATTGATCCAAAATGTATACTGCTTTTTTGTTTTAAGCTCTCAAACATTAAGTTCTCGGACAAAAAAGAGGATATTTTTATATTATTAAGTGACCATCATTGTGAAATTACCTTCCAAATGTTTATTTCATTTTAAAATTTTACCATGAATGTTGTAAAGCATGCATCTAGAGATATGCTCACCAGCACTGTGTATTAGCATTTTTACTTCTGTCAACTTTAGCAAAAAGATGGTGAGATTTAGAACTCGGACTTAAAGGGACTTTTCCCTACAAGGAGAATATGCCACTTCGAAGAATTGCTTCTTTCTTTTAAATCATTCTATTTTATTTATTTATTTAAGAGTATACTGTCACTGACATACCAGAAGAGGGCGCCAGACCCCCATTACAGATGGTTGCTAGCCACCATGTGGTTGCTGGGAATTGAACTCAGGACCTCTGGAAGAGCAGTCAGTGCTCTTAACCACTGAGCCATCTCTCCAGCCCTGCTTCTTTCTTTTAAATTCATTGTGTGACATAAAAAAGAAGCCCAAACAATAACACTTACTTTGTAAGGACCAGAGACTGACAGTTACAGAACACAGGAGACTTACGTGATCCGGAAGTGGTTCCAGAACCGCCCAACACCGCCCTGCCAGAAAACACAGATCACGTGTCACTGCAAACTCAGTGCCAACTCACAACATTAAAAGTTGGACCCTAATTTCCTCTAGGAATCCTGTGTGCGTTCCTGTTCATTTTTGTGACCCTAGTACATTTCTCATATCTCATAGTTTAGCTGTTGATCAGGTAGAATAGAGCATGGGAAAGGGGTACAGAAATCAAACCCCAACTCAGGATGACTATGGAGGCAAGAAATCTTTCCCACAGCAGGTCAGCATTCTCCAGGAAAGTCTTAAATTCTTGGTGCAGTGGCACACCCCTGAAATCTCAGCACTCAAGAGAGAAGAGGCAGGAGGATCACAAATTCAAGGTTGCATAGTATGACACTATTGTAAGAAACAAAATAGTGGTGTGTGAAAGAAAGTGCTGGGGGTATTGAGCACTCACCTAGGTCCTGGGTCAGTCTGCATCACAGAGAAAACAACAGCAAACAGGGCTGAGGAGATGGCTCAGTCAGAAGAGTATGTGTCTCGATAGCCTAAAGACCTAACTGAGAGCTCCAGAATCAGTATAACAAAAAGCCCTGCTTGTTGATGCCGGCTTGCAATTCCAGTGCCCAGAGGTGGGGAGGGTGTGGGGTGGGGTGGGGGATGGGAGATGTCAGGGTGGTGGTGGAAACATGCCGATTTTGGAGCATGTTAGCCAGTCAGCCTAATTTGCTTGGTAAGTTTCAGGCCAGTAAGAGATCCTGTTTCAACAACACAACACAAAACAAAACACAGCAAAATGGTGGACGCATTCTGAGCCGTCCTCTGGATTCCACAAACACGAACACACACGTGAACACAATCATGCCCTCCTCACACTGCTCAGACTAGAAAACAAAGCAACAAACAGATGAAAAACCAGGAGAAATGATGGAAGAGGAGTCCACAGCACCTGACCCTGCAGTCAGGACCAGGCGGGAGGCCCGCAGCACCAGAGCACGGCATAGGTCCTTTACAGAGCTCTAACTGCGTACCTCCAGTGCCTGCAACTCCTTTGTGGACACAGCTCAGGTCTCTTCTGGAATCTGTCCCCAGCTCCAGGCACGTGCCCCAACAGCGCTTTTGTTAGACCAATATAGTTCAGTTGAGGTTTCTCTCAGCTCCCCAGTTTGGACTCATTTATGAAAACGGCTTAGATCGTGCAGCCCACTCAGTACACTGTTCTAAAATTTTCTTCCAGAATATACAAAACCACCCAAGAACTGCTCATATGGGTGGAGAATATGGTTCCTATCAGGCTGTGCTCCTTAGTTATGTGGTAAGTTTGTAGATATTAGTCTTCCTTGAGGATTGTAAAGGAGAGAATATTTTTAAGACCTCATCTCTTTGTTAGCACACATGCAAGACATTTCCTTTAGGCTTTAAGAAGCTATAAGCTTCTTAGCCATGAGTCCACTTTGATCTAAGGGCAAGCATCATTTCTAAGAATGGATGCTGTTTCCTTTTTTTTTTTTTTTTTGGCTGCTAGGAACTTTAGGAACCCTTGTGTATGGTCATCCTATTACTGTCCCCACAGAGCACAGACCCAGTGTTCTTGGGTCTCCCAAATGTACATGTCATGTCCCCTCTCTGTGTCTGCCTGTGTCTGACTCACCTGTAACCCTCACACCCCCTTAGCTTCCTGTGCTAAGTATCTATTGCTATCTGATGTCTTTGCTTCCCGGAGCTTCCATCTTGGACCATGGGGGCCTCATTAATCTCACTAAATCATTCAGTACTTGTTTTTAGTCATCTCCAGAAAAGAGGCAAGCATCCGATGAATTCCTTGTTGGGAGTCTACCTGTTTTAACTAGGTAAGATTGCAGGTCTTCTAAATGTGCTCCCACTGGGGCAGAGTTTTAATACGTAATTTTGAGCATAGTCTTAAAGATGTATAACCATTTCTGTCCCCTTGACAGACAGTCTAGGTTCCCTGAGTAGGTCCTAGAGCCTTGCACCTTGCTCTCCTCTTCACCCTATCCAGTTCTTCCTGGATAAATACATTCGTTACTCTCTATTGCTATGATAAATACAGATGAAAGATTGCTTGTGGGAGGAAAAGATTTGGTTCATCTTATAGCTCATAGTCTACGTGAAGGGAGGTTCGAGCAGGAACTCAAGGCAGGAATTGCAGCAGAGGAATGCTGGGTTACTGGCTTGCCACCAGTATTATGTTCAGCTACCTTTCTTAGACCTCTCAAGACCACAGAACTAGGGGTGGCATCACTCGCAGTGGGTGGGCCTCTCACACGTCAATCATTAATCAAGAAAATGTACTATGGTTTTGCCCAACAGGCCAGTCTGATGGAGGCATTTTCTCTGTTGTGTTTCCATCTTTCCTGACGATTCTAGTTTGTGTCAAGTTGACAAAAAAAACTATCCAGAACAGTCCAGGTCAATTCCTCAGAGCTCTGCCTCAGACTGGCCCTGGATTCTTGGCTTCCCTGTTTGTCTCTTTGTAGGATAATTTTAGCAAGAACCCCACCAAGTCTGTTTAGCCAGAACCGCCTTTCGTGTCTCAACACCAGCAATATCTAATTGGGGTCCACATCTTTGATCATCTCCCAGAGGACAACCTTCCCCTGGCTTGCCTTCAGTGAGACTCCTGTTAGGGATCTTTTATCCCAAATGCTTCTTCTCAGTAATTTTCCATCCGTTGTCCCCACCCTGAGCGTGGGCTGTGGATTCCCTTTTGTTGTTGTGCTGTATTCATGCAGAAGCCACCTCCTCTTTCTCCACTGGTCACCCCCTTGGCTGTAATCCCTCTCCTGTCCTGATGGTGGTGGAGACAGTCAGCAATTGCTTCTTTAAAGTTATTTTGAAGGCTGCCTTCCCCCTGTATCTCCACCCCATTTCTTCTCCCTAGACTCCACACAGCAGACTGTTTTTCTGTCCTTGTAGCACTCCATGCTCTTCTGCATCAATAACAGTGCATCTTGTCTCTCTGTCTAGAACATTTCCGCCCCTAGCTTTGCCTGTGCCCATATCCTTTCTGATCCTCAGATCCCCCTTAGAACAATATCTCCCCTGGAGATACCTCTGGCCACCAACCTCAGCTGTTAAGTCAAAGAGCAGAGTTCCAGTCTGCTTCCTCCCCCCTCCCCCAGGATGACTCTGCAGACTCCCCATGCCTCATTTCCCTTCTCAGTGGGTGCTCCCATCAGGCACACTTCCTAGCTGTTTGGGCACTGGCAGGACACAGAGACCACATCTTTGGGGATGCAGTGAGTAAGATAAATGTCCTTGGCTTGCACATGACAGTTCTGCTTCAGCTAGAGGCAGAGACAGGGCTAGCAGGCCCCAGGGCCCTGTGATGTCTTGGAAGGCATCTGGTAAAGGTGCATTCACCTCAAGTTGGGATGTGAGCAACAAAGCTGCCTTGTTTTTTATCTCACTGTTACATTTGTAGTACATTTGTTATAGATGTGAGTCCTGACTAATTAATACACTCTTTTACATTACCCCATAACACCCAGGATGAAGCCAGGAGATATGTTTTATGGTTACAGATCATGATGCCTGCCCCTTGATAATACCTGTAGCCCAGCATGTCACAGAGACTGGTGGTGTATGGCAAATGCACACCACAAGAAGAGTCATGTCATATGGCATGTAGCTCAGTGGAAATACCCTAGAATGGGGGCCAGTGACAGACTGACAGAATCCCAGGATCTCAAGTACACAGACCATGGCCTTTTCCATAGCTAGTTGAGCTTGGACTTCACTCTTCCCCTAGTCAAGCCCAGATATCCACCACAGTGGTTCATTTCCCCTGGAACTCAAGCCTTAACTGATCCTGTAGTTTAGATTTTAAGTGCCTATGGTGTGTGTGTGTGTGTGTGTGTGTGTGTGTGTGTGTGTATGTGTGTGTGTTAAAATATTTCTGAGGTGGGCCATAGTTATTGGACATATGTCCTTGGAAGGGATTTTGGGACTCAGCCCCTATCCTTTCTCTCTTTGCTTCCCTGCTGACATGAGGCAAGTAGCTTTGATTCACAATGTGCTCCCCATCATGAAGGTCCTTCTCACCATAGATCTAGAGCAACAAAGCCAACTGACCAAGTGCTGAACTCTCAGAAACTAACAACCCAGACAAACCTTTCTCCTCTTATGCTAATTGTCTCAGGTACATTGCCACAGTAGCCAAAAGCTAACATGGCTGGCTTATAGAATAAAATAGCAGAGGAAGGAAGTTGTTTAGTAATCTTCCCAGATGTGAGGGATGCCATGAGGGGTGTTACTCATCACCCCCAGGCCCTGATCAGCTCCAGAAAACACCTGACTTCTGTGTGCCCCTCAAGGAGAACATCCTTTAACCAAGAACATTCCTTTGTAAGTTATTTTTAAGAGGGATGTGAAGATAAATTTGTGTGATGTAAGGCCTAGGGGTCTGCAGAGGGCAACTACTTCAGCTCCACAGCCATCAACTTCTATGACTGACCTCTTGCTTCCAGAAGCTAAGCCAATGATGATGAAGGCACATGACCAACACCTTTGAAGGTAAGCTCCATTGTTCATGGCATGCAGTATATATCAGGTGTTTAAACAATGAGAAATGAAAGAAAAGAAGTGGTGGGGGATTGACTAAAGGCAGGACCCTCTGTAAACCTGAGGAATGGGGTCTACCATTTGTACAAGTTTCCATGGTACAATTCTTTCAACCTGAACTTCGAGAACCAATGATGGAGAAGTTGCTGTCTTTGCATTATGCCAGTCACTCTGTCAAGTTGGTCATAAAAACTCAGATTCTGTTTCACATATAGACTACCCTGGAAGCACAGATGTCTGGAGCTGAAGACTGGTCCATCTTCTAAGTTATCCTGGTTGGTTGCCATGGAGATAGCTACTGGTGAAGAGATCATAAGCAGGTCCCATGACAGAATATGCTTATGTAATAAATAAAATGAGAGGCATACAGAACTTTAGAGCTGGCTCTTCCCTCGGAAAGCAGGGCTGTTAGCAGGTCTCAGACAGGTTCCTTGTCAAAAAAAAAAAGGCTTCTGTTTTTATTTCTGTTATGGGAAACTCAGGTGATTGCAGGGGAGAGCAGGGCACAATGTTTTGGGGTGACTACAGAGCCACAGGCTACTGGTTAGACTTAACCAGATATGTATCAAAAACCAAAGGCTCAGAGATGGCCTCTGTCCATCTCTGAATGTGTCACAGCAAAGGCATCTGGGATCTCCCTGGATCTACTCGCCACTTGAGGCCTGCTGGGTTGCTGGCATATGGTCTGTGGCCACAAGTCCAAGTTCTGGTCAATGTAATTTAGGCAGAGAATCAGCCCACAGCTGCCAGGAGTCTTTCTTAAGCCGTGACACACTTTCTTATCTTCCTCTAGCTGTGGGGTGCACAGGCATCGTTATTGTGGGCTCCTAGGGTTCAGGTGAACACAACTGAGGGAGCAATAAGATGAGGAAAAGTTTGGAATCACCAGGACTCTCAGAAGCAGAGATACCCACGGGCCTTAGGCAGGTTATTTCTGGATTTGCCTTATGTAAGTAAAAAGAAATATATAACAACCATTTCTCATGGTTGAGCATCTGAAGTTTTTACATGGGTTGCAGTCTTTAATGTTTTGGCTCCTTGGAGATGTGAGCTTTGGGGTTTGCCAGTAACATAGTAGAGTCCCTAGCCAAAGCGGAGAGAAAGGCAAATATGTTTCAATGGCGGCCAATGAGATGTTTTAGGTTCAAATCCTCACCTGTCACTTTCTGACCACATGGGCTCAGGGAAATGCCTGCACTTTTGACTGTGGTTAACGGATGTTACCCTGGGAAGGGTTCAACAGTCTATATCCCACATGACTGCCAAGATGCTTTAGTCTATGTTATCAAGGTAGAAAATCACAGCTTCCAGACAGTGTGTGAATCCTTGGCTCAGTGTCTATGAGCAGCGCTGTCTTCTGCGTTTGTCTGTTCAAGTTTCTCACTTAGCCCAAGTCTATAACCCTGCTGGCCTTTCACAGAGATTCTTCAAGCTGGCTCTTCCTCGGCAGTGAAACTCAGGGATTTAGTGGCCACTAACTTCTGGTCATCCTTTTTGTAAGGGCTGAAAGGCTGAGGTTAAAGTTGTTTGCTGTACAACCCCAAGTACATTTGCTGGGTTTGAGCTCTTCTCTACTGCCTTTTGCCAGCCTACCTAATTTCTCTTGGGCCCAGTTAATCTTATTTATTTATATGTGAGTATAATGAAATCAATCCTATAGCTAAAGATACACAAGGTTATAAGACGCCTGGCACATATCAGGGAGAGAGGGAGAGAGGGAGGAGGGAGGCAGGGAGAGAGAGAGAGAGAGAGAGAGAGAGAGAGAGAGAGAGAGAGAGAGA